GGTATCTCCTAGTCGAGCAGTCTCGACTAGAGTCTTCTTACTTGTTTTATTTTAAATAAGCTTTAAAAATATCAACATATCAACTTAAGCATCAAAATTTCATGCAAAATAATATTTGGTTAAAAATTGCAGCAAATTGCTTTTGAAGGACGCTCACGCATGCTTTTATCCGTATTACTCTTCAACTAATATTGATCGCCTTGTAAATTCGGGTTATAGCCACACAGCCTCCAAGGAAGAATTAACAACGCAGAGGTAATTTAAAGTCTTTATGGCTCAAAATGTATTGGCTTATTATACTCATTCACGAAATTGAAATGAGTTTATTGGTTTTGTGCATGTCCGTCTTATCGGTCCGTTTTTCCACCTACTAGGGGTGTGGCAAATCGGAAAATGAATTTTCCCATATACCACAAATCATGTTAGTTGATAAGCTAAAATTTGGAATGTAGTTCCGCGTAGAATACCCAAGTTCAAAAGCTATGGTGGATATATCTACTGTCTGTCAATTCGGTAGATACAGTTTTACAGCTAGAGTTTTAAAGCTAGAGCGCTGAAATTTTGCTCGTGAAGTGAAGTGAATAAAAGTTATGTGTCTTAGCCGGCTGCGTAAGCATCCAAATTTATCAGTTATGTTACGTTCAGCTCGTTATAAGAACTGCCCACCAGGTTGGCAAATATGGAAAACTGCATTTTGTACAGTACTATAGCTGAACTTGGCTAAAAAAATTGCTGATAAGATGTGAATAATTATTCTGCAGTTGGTAACGCCCGACCGCAAAGTGTGTTGTGGCTTAAGTTGTCTTCATGTATGCCGCAGTATTCAATTGGTTACTCAATTGCCATGAATCTCTCTGTCGCCAGGCTCAACACTTGAAAGTACTCCTATATAAAGGGCGGCAGCTGCAGTATTCAGGAGTCGCCTAGGTCTGGAGGGCGTCAGTCGTGTGGAAGACTGAAGTGAAGTCTGCTATCGTTCAGCTAAGCATTAAAGACTTGGAATAAATACGTAGAGAAAAATACTTTGGGGAAATTATAAGAGATATTTAGAAAAATCCTAACGGGAAAATACATAAAAGAAAGACTTAGAGGAAATGAATTGAGGAAATACTTAAAGCAAATACTTAGAGCAAATGCTTAAAGTAATTAATTACCTATTAATTTTGTATAAATTTCAAATGAAAATTTCTAGTTTAACCAGCACTGGACCTTTTGGAGGAAGTTGCCAAGTCCATGGACCATTGCCTCAACTAACACACTCGAGCTCAGATGATTTAACTGCCGTCCCTGACTTAGATACTGGAAACTCTGGAATTAAAAGTCCAATATTGAACAATCCAGCCTTTTCTCACTCAAAATGCCCACCTCGAGTACATCGCAGTTGTTTCTGTGTGCGTTTCATAGCAGAGCATACTAAAATGCAAGAGGACTCCACAAAAGTAAGTTGTCAAATAAATATATAATATACTAATACTAATTCATTTATATGCGATTCGAAGGTTAAAGAAGACTGGAAGTATGTCGCAATGGTATTGGATAGGCTCTTTCTTTGGATATTCACACTGGCTGTCTTGGCGGGCACAGCGGGCATAATATTGCAAGCGCCAACCTTATACGATGACCGGATTCCCATAATCGAGCAAAAGGACCTAGAGTTTTCCGGCACTTCAGCCGGACGCTGTAGACCTGCGCAATAGCGATTTTATGCCAATACTGTCTAAAACCCTAGCAGACCATTTTAAATGTATTTATTTTCGATGTGTTTTCTGTGTTCCCGTTTCTCTAAACCTGAATCAAAAACTTAACTAAATTCATCGCTATAAACTTAAATCTGTTATGTATGTATCGCTTTATCAACGAAAAACAACGTTAACAATATTTTTAAGTTCTGATCGAAAATATTAGTCTGAAACATAAGGAAAATTTAGCACGGCTATACTAGTAGAAAAACGGTACTATTCAAGCTATTCAATACTCAAAACGTATTACAAATTATAAAAAAGTCTAGAATGCACACTTGTTTCTACTATTATTGATTTATACTCAGTCATTTTTTAGTTTATTTGCTCGAACCCATTCTGGGTCTCAGCAAATGCAGAGGGAGGCATATCTGCTTTAAAATAATCGATTTGTGAGATTCGAGCGAACTATGAAAAGATCGATCATTGAGGAAATAAGAATATGTTTGATTGAGCAACAGATGTCTTTAGTATTCCTTTGCATTAAACATGGAGGATTGAGCCCACATATTATTGGTTCTATTCTTGTCTGCTATGATTAAATATCGTTTGCTGTAAGCCCATGCAACCAATTTATCAAAAATATTTATTTAATATTATTTGATGTCCCCAAGGGGTCACGATATGCCAGCTCATGCACTTTCGTATCATATAAAAAATGCCAATTAGCAATTAGACGACATACAGGTCAATTGATAAATTATGTTACTTATGATTTACTTAAAGCTATAAATGTGTATGTACATATACACATATATTACATACATATATCATTCACGAGTTCTTGCAAGCACTTAAAACGTGTTTATTAACCCCGTAGGCACAAAATTATTTTTTAAACTTAGAATACATATGCATATGTATTTACTGTATGCATATGCATGTGCACCTACATATTCCCAACATGATATAAGCCAAATTGATTTCTATAGTATAATGATATGACGATTCTTAATTGATTCTGTTTATACTTCACAGCCAACTGTAGCCAGGGCGTCATTTAAACTACACTGCATTTCATTTTGTGAAGAATTCAAGCGTGTTGTATACTTTACGTTAGCATACAAAATGTGAAATAGAAAGTTAACATTACAATTAATAAGACATAACGTTAGTTTAAAGTATTTGTTACTTAATAAAGTTGAAATTTAAAATTATTAACACATTGTGAATTCATTTTATTTAATATCTTCAGGTTCAAGACGGCCAATGTGCTTTCTTCCTTGATGATAGGGGTTTTTCATCATAGCCGTAATAAGAATGGCGAAAGGTTAAAATCAATGGCCTCGTAACTGCAATCTGACCTGTAGCATAACATAAAAGAGAGAGACCATTACCGAATATTTTATAATCGGAACGGCTGTTTATATATATTTATTCCAATATTATTCATTTATGCTAATATTAATGTACATTTGCATATCTACACTCGGAGTAAACAATATTTACACAACGAACACTTTTCGACCAGTTCTTCAAAAAATCATTTACTCTTTTAATATTCATATATGTTTGCTAACTAGATGCCAAAGGCCCAACATTCAAATTTAATTTTATTATTATAATACAAATATTTACATTTAAAGTGCCTGCGCATATGATCTGCATGTTCATTTATAAAAATAAATTAATACATTTGGAACAGTTTCAAGAATTTCGTTAAATTCTAAATGGTTAGCCAGTTTATAAGGAATAAATAAATGTTTTTCGATTCTGCTATATTGACAATATTTTATTACTATTAAAAAATACAAAATGAATACATATAGTTCGACATCGCTTTCAATCAGATTTAACTTAATCTGAGTAATAGGATGCGTGTAATTAAATTTGTAGCAAACAACATAATAAATAATATTTGATTTTATATAAATTGAATATATTTGTGCATACTTCTTACTATGAATATAGACATCTGCACACATATAAATAAGCACATCTCAAGTGCAATTTATATAGAGCAGAAAATGTAATTCACTGATCAACGACAACAGAAAAGAGTTGACAGTGCTCTCTTTAAGAGTGACCGACTAAGCGAATACCCAGCTTCTAGCTTGACAGACAATGAATGAATGGAAATTTACTTTGGCTGATTCCTTTAGTCGATAAAAATACTCCTTAAGTTTTAGAAAAGCCAGTTTCTCTTCTTGAATAAACATAATTTCTTACTTTAGTACCTGTTTTAATTAGTTTAGATGATTTATAAATTCGAGGTCATACTATTGAAGAAACACTGGCATTTCGACCATGAAATTTCGTTAGTTGTTTTGCGTGATATTGCACCAAATAAATGATGTGTTTTAATGTTTTGAATAAATATGAATAATGTTGTCAGGACTTCGAGAAAGGAGGGTGAGATTTGGCCACTGAATTAGCTCGGTTTTCGTTTTTGCATTTCAAAAGTATTCTTAAAACAGTTATACCCGCTTTCCACATGCACGTAATTCCAGGGTGTAAACAACAATAAAATAGAAATTATGATTGCGCTTAACGCTTCTTGCTGCCAGTACGTCGCTGAATTTCTAAAAGTTTCTGCCAGTCTGAAAATGACTTTCAGGAAAAGTGTTCCACGTGCAGACACAATGAAAATTTGTTTGTTACATATTGCTGTAATACACCTCTCTTGGGCGAATGCTTCTGACGGGATTGACTTTAGTGTAAATGATATTATGAACACTCAAATGATGCCTTTCCAAATATTTGTTTACGAGTTCACTCCAACAAGGAAAACAAACTACTCAACTGACTTTACGCCTGCTTTAGCTACGATGAACTATCACAGGTAAAAAGATCCATGATCCCATAAATTCAATAATTGAACATCAAAATGATTATTTTTATTATAGAAAAATGATGCAACAATTCATGGCTTCTGACTACCTAACTAAGCAGATATTGCACTTGAATGCAGATCGATACAAACAAAAGATAAACAGACGAGTGGGCGAATTTCATAATAAATCCAATTTATTCAATGAAGATAATCATTCGTTACTTTTCGACGATGGTTCTACCAGATATAATGCTTGGTTAAGGTAGGACAAATTATTCGAGGCTGATTTGGCGAATGCTCTACCTTATGACTCTTCGTTCTTTGTGATTTCCTATAGTATAGGTCCAATCAGTCATTTTGCCTAATTACTTATAATTGTGTAAAATTTTCCTTATAGAACAACAACACTGGACGATATTCAACATCAGTTAAATCATGCTGCAAATAATTTAAAAAACCCTGAAAGTTCAGTTCGAAGACAAATGTTGGATCCAGCTGGAAAATCTACTTTGGGGGTCTATGAGGCAGACGAAGATAGCGATTCTGGCGACATTACTGGCTACGCATATGACAGTTCTTATAATGACAGCAACTATTTCAATGCAAGTTAAGCTTACTTCTTTTTCGAATTACCCATTAGAGTTATATAATCTTGATAAATTAAGTTATTCCCATGAGTTTCTGAAATGCTTTAATTTATGTCAGAGTGCAACTTCACAGAAACAATAGAGCTGTTAGCAAAATTTTGCTTCATATACATATGTAGAGCGTTGCTATAAAATTTTTAGACATATTAGAATATGGTTCATTTCTTATGGCAGTTCATGCCTAGAAGAATTTTCAAGGGTCTCAAACGTCTGAATTAAAAAAACTAACACAAACATTTGGGCTGCGTTCTGTTGCATTTCCTTTTCAAGTAGAACTGCTAATTGGCATTAGTTATATGCGTGTCAACAATGATCGACATTGCGTTTCTTCTCATTGGAAAAGATGAAATATTTTCATATTTTTAATTCATTTATTATAAGACAAATATTCCATCCTTTGTAATATTTTTATTACTATTAGTAATAATTTTTAAACTTATAAGCCATAATAGCATTCGTATTTAATTGATGTATTCATATTTGATGCTTTGATTGAGGTAATTTTCTTTTCTTTCTGTAGCCTAATCTGTTTAAAGTATCACAGATGCCACGATTATTAATAAAAGCTCCAAAGACTGGTGCTTCAATTAAGCAAATTAACAAAAGTGGTAAGACTCTCAAAGCATATATTTCCTCAAATTAAAAGACATGGTAAAATACTTTTAGGATATGACTCAGGCTTTGAGGACTATGGAGTACATCACGCTCCACCCGAATCAGCTATGTCACAGCCTGCGAAACAAATTAAGGAAATCAGCCTAAAAGATATCACGGACATCGCTCTAACGACCCTCGCATTTCTATCTTTTGGGATGTTCATACTACAGGTTCTTATGTGCATAACTATGGTAAGTGCAATCTTTGATTCTGACTCAAAGTTTAAGTCATCAATTTAAATTTGAGACAGTAATGGCTTTAGCATACATTTTACTAACAAAACATCTAAAATGTCTCTTAATTATATTACATTGCCTAACAACTTGGTTAACGTTCTGCATATTCGATGTATTTTAATTTTAGAATAAAGAGGATACGAGTAATTTAATGATGCTACCTATGGAGGCAACGGAATCAGTTGAACCAAGTGATGGGACGGAAGAGATACGACGGAGGAAACGATCTGTTCCAGAAAGTTTGCCAATATTAGTGGGGGTATTTATTATTATAAGAACATTACATTTAGTTATAGTCACTAAACAAATTAATTGACTTCAGTTATCCTTTTTGGCTTTTCATGACGATATTATGACAATCATTAAGTTTACTGTAAGTATTATAATACATTTGCATATTGTATTTACAGGCAAATCAACTGACTCAAACTTTATTGACCACAATCGACCATATATACCTAAGTGAAAACAAAAATGTAAACATGAAACATTACTTTCAACTTTTATGCGGATATGGTGCTAACAACACGAAATTGAGAAGAATACAAAAAATATGGACAATACTTTACAGGTCCGTTGACTTTTTTATATTGTATACAAATATTATAAAAAAAATAAAGAGCACTGGAACACTTTACGGTCAGATGAATGTGTCGCAGTCTCCCGTATTATATAAAAGCCTTGCTGTCTACCCTCAACATTTTATTAAGGCTTATAAAAGATTACGTAGTTACCCTGTAATATACCTATACATACAATATATTATAAATAATTTTACATAGATAAATGGTGTATATTACTTAAAAGTCTATGAAATACCAACTTTCTAATCTGATCAACATTTTTATTTAACCAACACAGCTTAGGAACCAGTTGGTTGGCGGCTCGTGCATCCGATGACTATTATTCAATAATCAAACGAGTCAGTCAGGTGTTTGAGGTCTGCACCTAGCTAAAGCCGCAAGAGGACGAAGAATAATAATTTGAAGTTAATTCATTGCGTTTCTTATTGTGTGATACATTTATTTTTAGTATACAAAATAAAATTCACTCGCTGCGAATATTGTATTGAAAATGTGTTTTAAATATATTAATACGTTTTTGTAATCAAATACAAATTAAGTATTTCTGCATGATGTAACAATCCACATTTAATTTTTATATATATAAATATACTTACTATTTTACAGAAATATCTATAGTTTTTGAGTTAACAGTTCGGAACTTAGAATTTGAAAAATCTCCTTAAAATCAGTTCTGAGAATATCGGAATACGTTCTCAATTCATTCTCTCAATAGCCACGGGCAGGCGCAATTTCATATCTGCTCCCAAATTTGGGCTACTAATGGAAAGGAGCCCAGACATGGGCTCTTCTGAGATAAGATTTCCTGTTTCCATGCTGAAATTCTACAATCGTAAGAAGATACATTTCAATTTGATTCTCAATATTGTTCCTCCTAAGTCATTCTTTAATCAAGCCATTTGTTGTACCATACCATAAGTCTCTAGAGATGTATGTTAATCAAGAGTCGCTGTGCATATGATTTTTACATAATACTAAAGCTTCATTTAAATTTTATTTAAATTAAAATGGTTTAAGAAAGCATAGTTGGGGGTCGGCATAAAACGCCGGATGAAAGCTTGGACAGGCTGGTGAATTGACTGCTGGAGTTGATATCGCTGAGAAATACATGTCGCACTTGTATAAGCCGTGCCTTTGGGCTATTTTAAGACGGGATGTCAGTTGCTTCTTCCATTTAGTTCTGCGGTTCTGGAACCAGGTTTTAATTTGAACCTCAGTGAGCCCCAATGATTTCGAGAGCTCCATTCGTTTTGTCACGCTAAGGTATTTGTCCGCCTTGAACTCGCTTTCTAATCGATCCAACTGCTTTGCGCTGTAAGCCTGCCGCGGCTTTCGATCAATCCCTTGTTTTCTCAATCGTTTTCCTTCAATAAAATGATTTTAGGATTAACTAATTGCTTATTGTTAATTTAGTAATCAAGGTACCTTGAACACTTATAAAGTGATGCAAATATGGAGGTATTGACAGCTTCAAGGGGTATTGCAAATTTGATTGGGATATTTGAAACGAGGTTCTAAATGGACTGAGCAAATTATCTTTTCCTATTATATCCATTGCTTGTAATGCCGGAAATGACCTGGTGAGGGCACTGTGCGAATCACTCCAATGTTCCCCCTTTTCAACTGCAATAATAAAAAAGCAATAATTTATATTTATCAATTTCTACTCAAAACGTAACGTGTCTTATACTGTGATTTACTTAAATACAATTGTAAATAACTTATTTAATATTGAACAAAAAATATTTAGCATCTTGTTGACGAGCGCCGGCGATTGAAGTTTTCGTAAACTGAAAAGGGAGTTCAAGAATGCTTAACAGTGGACTTCCAACTCAAAATGTCTAGAGCCTATGCTAATCTTCTCCACGCTGAAACGCTCCCAAGGGTCTTATGTGAATTATTTATTTGGTCTAACAAGTATGAATATTTTCACCAGGTATGGGATAAACTCTGAACCCAACGAAGAGCTGATATTATCAGTCTACGCTGTATTAATCATACAAAACAACTCGGCGGCATTCAAGCTTGTATGGTGTACTTTTCCAATTTCAGGTCTCTAGTTTGTATAGGTATATGTATGTATGTATATATAAGGGAAAGTCATTTATCATTGTGGTGTGCTTGGAGTATGAATATTATCTATTTCAATTCGTTAACAAATTTGAAAAGAAATGATAGAGATATCAGGAACGGAACAGTAATATTAAAATTAATAATAACATTACTAAATATTGATTTCAAGCCCTTTTCTACTTTGATTGATAGTTATACAATACTTTTGAATGGGATGAATACATACAATATTAGGCACTGAAAGATTCCGGTGTATAGAAAAACGGTAGTACGAAATAACATTTTATAATTTAAAGTATTAGAAGTAGTCGGTATAAACATAAATTTATATAAATATATTCTACAATTTTATTTTTAATTAATTTAATTGATATGACTAAAATTTGATGATATTAATGTAACTGAACAGCCTGAACATTTTTTAGACAAATGAACAGAGAGCTCATATATCAAGCAGTTCAACGAATTAGTTTTCTAAATTCCCATATCACTCATATGAATTTCCTTTCTGCTTCGATACAGAAATTCGATAGGTAAATAATGCTCTTTACATTTATGCATATAAATATAGAGTTTTAAGCAACTGAATTTTGGGTTTGAGCAAATGAATTTTAACAGAATTGAAGAGGGCGTGATTGGACTAAAAAGTCCATAAGAGAAAATACAATCATAATGATGATCAGACAAAAGTAACAAAAAGGGAAATTTTGGTAATAAAAAAAATAAATAGAAATAGCTTAGGTATATGTATGTTTGCTTCGTATACTTACATTTAGTTGAAGAGGTATTTGAGTTGTTTACAGATGGAGTCATATTTTTTAGAAGTGCACTATTTTGTTTTATGAAACATGGATGGGAATCATTGTTGCTGCACAAGATGTTATCAATACTGAACGAGAGGGATCGACCCGAATCGCGATTGTTGGTTATTTCTTTGGAACTAGTGACCGAGTCAACAGTCAAATTTTGTATTTTGCACAACGTGTCATTTGGTTCGAAATCACATTTAGTATTTTCTGGCGATTTGGAGTGCAATTGCTGCCGATTCATTTTCGACGATTTTAGCCTTACATGATTCGCGCATAACTAAAGCCGTAATATTTATTATTATTTTTCTTTGCATCACGGAACTTAGGCGCTGTTGTGATTTGCTCATCATCACGAACTTTTCTGACTCCGCCCAGGCATTAGCACATTGGCCAACGGCTCACGCCTAGCTCAGCTGAGAACGAGCATCCGCAGCTGCAGCCAAACTCGACCAATCATAAGGCAAAGCGTTTTCATTCATCTTCCTGGATTGGGCTTGGTCAGGCGCACATACATATATTATGTAGACCCCATTGACGAGATGCATGATATGTGTGCGTGTCTGAATGGCAATGGGGTATATACACACCTACGTACACGCGTATATGTGTATGTACCTAGCTGTGTCCACAGATCATTCTCGGCCACAAATGATATCGTTAGCATTTCGACTGCTTTTTATTGCTTTTTAAATTAAAGATGTGTTAACGATTTACTACTCTTTGACAAACAATTTGGACGTGCCACTTCATTTATGTAAGTGCGAGAGTGTGAGAAACCAGAGTATCTGAGGAAATCACACCAACCTACCATACACATACATGCATACACACACACACTGGCTACACTTGACTGTTGGCATGACGGTCTCCCAATTTCATGCGTTCTTTTTTGTAGGATTTGGCAATTAGGTGTGAAAATACACTAATATACATATCACAAGTACGAGCTGTCTGGATTAACAGAGATACTAGATACCCTGTGTTACATATTTATTGGTAGACACTATTGCCTTACAGATTTTCTGATTAAGTCGTTGGAAAGCTGGAATAAAATGGCTTTGAATATCATTAAAATGTATTTAAATTGAAATTCATCAATATGTATATACAAAATATTTAATATATTAAAATTTTTGTATTATACATGTATGATAATTTTTTGCATATATGTAGATAAACTAAAAATTCTTTAAAGTGTAAGCAATACAGGGTATGCACAAACTAACTTCCAAAGGGACTAGGCAAGTA